TCTATCTATCTATCTATCTATCTATCTATCTATCTATCTATCTATCTATCTATCTATCTATTTTATATTCGAACTTGTGAAAACTACTGAATATGCATATGTTGTAATTATCGCTCTCACAACTTTTCTTATCATAATATATACATATTTGTATGTATATATTATGATCTAGTTGATGAAAAAACTGTAAGGAACATTTGGAGAATCCTATTCTAGAGATTACATGTTATGCAAAGTTCAAACTACGTTAAAACAACAAATTGCACTCGAAAAAAAAAAACCCTACATATTACAGAAGGACAACTGCACAGCAAACTCAAAATAGGTAGGCGAAAAAATCGTTGGACAGGCCTTGTGAAAACTACTGAATATGCATATGTTGTAATTTTCGCTCTCACAACTTTTCTTATCATAATATATACATATTTGTATGTATATATTATGATCGAGTTGATGAAAAAACTGTAAGGAACATTTGGAGAATCCTATTCTAGAGATTACATGTTATGCAATGTTCAATCTATGTTAAAACAACAAATTGCACTCGAAAAAAAAAACCCTACATATTACAGAAGGACAACTGCACAGCAAACTCAAAATAGGTAGGCGAAAAAAAAATCGTTGGACAGGTCCATTGAGACTGTAATTGGCTTTCCCAGTATGAAATGTAAGTAAAAGTTTGAAATTAATTATTTCTATTTATTATTAACGATGTCTCAAATGATCTGTCCCTTTTCCCAACATGGCCTGCGCGTCAGAAAACACAGAAGTGAACTTAAAAAGTTAGAAAACAGTATTTTAGATTATAAACAGTATTTTAAGGGACTAGCCCGTAAGCGCAAAAAATAAAAACTGTATTCTATTTTAAAAAAAAAAAAAAAAATGAAGAGAATGAGGGGTCCCGTAAAGACCAAAAAGCTGAGCATTCGTGATGAAAATGAATGAACAAAAGAGCCACATACCTGCGTCCTTACACGTTTGGTTTCCAAAATTAAATTGAGCGAAAACGTGTTAAAAGGTTGCCAGAAAGTAACGAAGTAGCCTTAGGAGGGCTACCAGAATTAAAAAACAGTCACGTGGAAGCGCCATTGAAATGAAAAAGGAATTTGAAATATGTATGTATTTAAAATAAAGTAAGTAAAAAATATACATACATAAAAATATTACTGTAATGAACTGTTAGTTATGAAAAAGAAAATGATACTCAAAAGAAGTGTTAGGTGTTAAAAATTCGTAAACAAAAAATTATAAGCAAAAAACTGTGATGAAACCTAATCAGGTATGTAACGAAAATTTAAATTAAAAAAAAAATATGAACCGAAATGAATTATCCTAAAAAATATCCGATGGAATTCATTCATGTATGTTACGAAAATTTTAATTAAATAAAAAGAAATCTTACAGGGAAACTGGCGGCGCAGCGGTCGGATCGCTGAATATTGGTTTCATGAATTTGTAACATGCATAACAGACGTCCGTCCCTCATGCAGGTAGCCGCAGTATTACCTAAACGAAAAAAGGAAATGAATTGCTTATTTAAGAACATCTTAATAAAGAAAGAAAGAAACAGAAACGGGATTAAGAAATTGTGAGGTCTTATTAATGGCTAGACACCCAATAAAATAAAATGAAATCTTTAATTAATCAAAATACGGACATGGGAATAAATAACAGGAATCTCAGCGATGAGTAAAACGCGTACAAGAACATGTAAAAACAGAAGGCGAAAAATTCTCTTTTGCAGAAGAAAATGTGTGTGTGTGGGGGGGGGGGAAGTAGCCTCACAAAATAAGAGAAGTAAATAAAGATAAGATAAGTGGAAGTACAGGAACAGAGGCATAGAAATTAATATTTATTCAGTGCAAAATCTAGTAAATAAATGAACCTAAACTGTTGAGGTCAGTTTTAATCAACAGTTCGTGATCATACATGGAAAACTTTCTTAAACTGACGTTTGGTCTTCTTCACAGAGTATTGAATGTACAGGGAGGAAATGAAAGAGTGGTAGAATGCAGTGTCCCTCTCTTTTTTAGTTAACTACTTCGATCTACATGTCATGTGGAAGTGAAAAGAAAAAATCGAATTGTTCACAGAATATCGAATGTACAGGGAGGAAATGAGTTTGACGCGCAGAACTGAACGACAATTCATTCAAAACACACAAGGAAACAAGTACGCAGGGTCGACAGAGGATGAGGAAATCATTAGAATTGACAATGGCATGGAAATGAATTCATAACAGGTTCGAAAAGAGTCAAAAAAAAGGGCGTGAATTCGGTACCAAACGCCAGTAACGAAGCGCATTTCAATGCAGCTTTTATGTGCGTCACGCAGAAGTAAAGAATGAACACAGTGTCCCTTATCTGTTCAGGGTTTCTTTCAGATGCAAACAGAGTGGAAAAAGAAGTAAATGAATGCAGTTTCTTTCTGAGAAAAAAAGGAAAAATGAAAATAGTATAGTTCCGTTTTTTGACACTAGGTGGCGCCACCACATACCAAGGAAATCCCAGAGGAGCAGCTATTACGCCTCCCAACAACAATCTTTATTCCTTTTTGGATCTTCCTGCGTGTTGGCTGCTGTTTGACGTCGCTCCTGCGGTGTTGCTGTTAGTAAGTATTGTAGTAAGTATTTTTTCAATACTTTCTTGCCTATTATGTCTGCTAATATGTCTTCAGTCTTCAGTTACAGGTGAGTCTCCCGACCACGCTGTAGACGTACCCCCACGTGCTACTAGAATGGTGAAGAGAGAAGTGCCCCCGGACGGAAACCGAGCATGGCTATTTGTGTTTATAGCCTACCTCCTGTCGGTTGTAGTTTCGGGGCTTCCTCCGTGCTTTGGCCCAATAAAGGCTGCAATTACGGAGGAGTTTCCAGACACTTCGACAAGTACCCTTGGCCAATTTCCATCTTTGGTCAGCAACTTGAGTCTTTTGCTTTCCCCCATAGCTACTCTTGTGGTACTGAAATGTGGTCCTCGTTTGAGTCTTTTTCTAGGAGGACTTTTTTCTGTAATTGGACTAGGTTTAAGTTCTTTTGCTAAATGTGCTGGCTTCCTAGTTTTCAGTTACGGAGTTGTGGTCGGGATTGGTTCCAGTTTAATAGTTGCAAGTTTGCTCTCTCCCAAATTGCAGCTTTGTTTACCTCCCGCAAGCCTTTAGCTTTTGCCTTGTATATGTGCGGAGAGTGTACGGGGGCATTTGTGCTTCCTTTTTTAATCGATTTTCTTTTAGGTGAGTACGGGTGGCGCATGGTATTTTTTGTTTTATGTGTTTTGAATGTGCCCACCTGTTTGGCTGCTGCTGCGTTCGAGAGGCCCGAATTTTATTTTGTCGAAATTTCCGAGGAAGTGGAAATTAAGAATCCTACGGAAGAAGAAAGGCCAGCAATGGTTGTTCCTATTCCCGAGGTTCCAATTTCAAGCTCCTTGAAATTATGGCATAATATCAGGGACTCAACAGGGTTGACGCTCCTGAAGAAATGGGAGTTGTGGTTGATGTTGGTGGCTATTGCTTCTCACGGATTTGGCAGTGCAGGCTTGAAGTCCATTTTTGAGAATGGCCTGAAGGAACACGAGTTCCCGATAGGACATACGTACTGCTTCTTGATGACGGTGTTTGTTCGATTCACATACGGCTTGTTTAGTGGGCAGTCTCGGATTCCAAGGAACTTGGAATACTTCCTATCGTCCTTGGCCAATGTTGGTGGCGCTATTTTAATGCTGGGCGTAGGTTGCGAGACAGTGGCTCACTATCTGGTCGTTTTGTGTCTAATGGCTATCGGCAATGGGATTTGGGGAGTTCTGACACCCGTCGTTATCGGCGAGAACGTAGGTTCTATCCCCAAAGCTTTCGCTTGGATCAAATGTATCCGGGGAATTCTGGCTCTCCTCTTCCCATTGTTGAAAGACCATGTGAAGCAAGACCGTGGTCAAGAGGTGGTGGACGCGATGAGTGCTGCGCTGGCAAGTTCGGCGGCGGCAATAGTTTCACTTCTCTTTTTTCTGTTTAAGACATTGGGGAAGTGTTACCGATCAGCAACCGCAACTTCCACCCGATTGTAAATTTTTTTGTAATTTAGTATGTAATTTTTTTTAAAGTGTTTTCATGTGTAATTTCTTGTATATATGTATATTTTGACGCTTAACTAATTTAGTTATCAGCGTTTTTTTTTAATTGATTGTACATTTTTATGTGAACTTGACAAGCGTCAGACTTGCTTTGATCGCTTATTATTTTATTGCTTAATATGTTTTAAAAAATTGCATGCTTTCTTGTTTAACGCGAAACTTTTAAAGTTTTGAGTTTTTGTTTTTATAGTATAAATTTATGCATAATGATTGAACAGACTGGTTGCATGGGGTTTTCGTGGTTTCCCTCATGTGTCACGTAAATACGGACCAGTTTTTTCAAGTCATTTTTGTATTTTATGTGAGAAGTCCTCCACGAAGGCATAAAATAAAGTTGAATGTAAATGAACACAAATAAATAAAACTGAAAACAAGCATGTTACAGGGAGGGAGACACACAAATGCACAAATTCAATAAATACTTAAATAGGAATTTAACTGAATATACACACATCTATATAAACACATGCTACACACATTATAATTTTGAAATTAAAAGAACATAAATAAAGTAGAAATATACATATAAAGAACATGTAAACGGGAGGGAAACACGTATGTAAAATGTAAGGCTACTTTCACAGCACATACTCGGGATTTCATAGCTGCACTTGCACTCATTCAATAAATATTTAAATAGAAATTAAATTGAATACACACACATCTATATGAACACATTAATTGTTAGAAGGAGTTACATTAATTGTTAGTATTATTGGAGTTAAATTAATTGTTACATTAATTGTTAGTATTATTGGATTAATTGTTACATTAATTGTTAGTATTATTGGAGTTACATTAATTGTTAGAAGGACATTGTTAGAAGGACATTGTTAGAAGGAGGGAAACGCATATGTGATATGTAAGGCTACTATCACAGATTTTCGGGATTTCACACATGCAATAAATCAATAAATATTTCAATAGAAATTTAATCAAACACAAAAAACACATCTATATACATGCTCTCTCTCTCTCTCTCTATCTATCTATCTATCTATCTATCTATCTATCTGTATCTATCTATCTATCTATCTATCTATCTATCTATCTATCTGTGTCTATCTATCTATCTATCTATCTATCTATCTATCTATCTATCTGTCTGTCTATCTATCTAACTCTATCTATCTGTCTGTCTCTCTCTATCTATCTATCTATCTATCTATCTGTATCTATCTTCTATCTATCTATCTCTCTCTCTCTATCTATCTATCTATCTCTATATCTATCTATCTATCTATCTATCTCTGTCTATCTCTATCTATCTATCTCTATCTCTCTATCTATCTATCTATCTATCTGTCTGTCTGTCTATCTAATCTATCTATCTGTCTGATCTATCTATCTATCTATCTATCTATCTGTCTCTATCTATCTATCTATCTATCTATCTATCTATCTATCTATCTATCTGTCTGTCTGTCTATCTATCTATCTATCTATCTCTATCTATCTATCTATCTATGTCTGTCTATCTATCTATCTATCTATCTATCTATCTGTCTATCTGTCTATCTATCTATCTATCTATCTATCTATCTATTTTTATTCGAACTTGTGAAAACTACTGAATATGCATATGTTGTAATTTTCGCTCTCACAACTTTTCTTATCATAATATATACATATTTGTATGTATATATTATGATCTAGTTGATGAAAAAACTGTAAGGAACATTTGGAGAATCCTATTCTAGAGATTACATGTTATGCAAAGTTCAAACTATGTTAAAACAACAAATTGCACTCGAAAAAAAAAACCCTACATATTACAGAAGGACAACTGCACAGCAAACTCAAAATAGGTAGGCGAAAAAATCGTTGGACAGGCCTTGTGAAAACTACTGAATATGCATATGTTGTAATTTTCGCTCTCACAACTTTTCTTATCATAATATATACATATTTGTATGTATATATTATGATCTAGTTGATGAAAAAACTGTAAGGAACATTTGGAGAATCCTATTCTAGAGATTACATGTTATGCAAAGTTCAAACTATGTTAAAACAACAAATTGCACTCGAAAAAAAAAACCCTACATATTACAGAAGGACAACTGCACAGCAAACTCAAAATAGGTAGGCGAAAAAATCGTTGGACAGGTCCTTGTGAAAACTACTGAATATGCATATGTTGTAATTTTCGCTCTCACAACTTTTCTTATCATAATATATACATATTTGTATGTATATATTATGATCTAGTTGATGAAAAAACTGTAAGGAACATTTGGAGAATCCTATTCTAGAGATTACATGTTATGCAAAGTTCAAACTATGTTAAAACAACAAATTGCACTCGAAAAAAAAACCCTACATATTACAGAAGGACAACTGCACAGCAAACTCAAAATAGGTAGGCGAAAAAAATCGTTGGACAAGGCCTTGTGAAAACTACTGAATATGCATATGTTGTAATTTTCGCTCTCACAACTTTTCTTATCATAATATATACATATTTGTATGTATATATTATGATCTAGTTGATGAAAAAACTGTAAGGAACATTTGGAGAATCCTATTCTAGAGATTACATGTTATGCAAAGTTCAAACTATGTTAAAACAACAAATTGCACTCGAAAAAAAAAAACCCTACATATTACAGAAGGACAACTGCACAGCAAACTCAAAATAGGTAGGCGAAAAAAAAATCGTTGGACAGGCCTTGTGAAAACTACTGAATATGCATATGTTGTTGTAATTTTCGCTCTCACAACTTTTCTTATCATAATATATACATATTTGTATGTATATATTATGATCTAGTTGATGAAAAAAACTGTAAGGAACATTTGGAGAATCCTATTCTAGAGATTACATGTTATGCAAAGTTCAAACTATGTTAAAACAACAAATTGCACTCGAAAAAAAAAACCCTACATATTACAGAAGGACAACTGCACAGCAAACTCAAAATAGGTAGGCGAAAAAATCGTTGGACAAGTCCTTGTGAAAAACTACTGAATATGCATATGTTGTAATTTTCGCTCTCACAACTTTTCTTATCATAATATATACATATTTGTATGTATATATTATGATCTAGTTAATGAAAAAACTGTAAGGAACATTTGGAGAATCCTATTCTAGAGATTACATGTTATGCAAAGTTCAAACTATGTTAAAACAACAAATTGCACTCGAAAAAAAAACCCTACATATTACAGAAGGACAACTGCACAGCAAACTCAAAATAGGTAGGCGAAAAAATCGTTGGACAAGTCCTTGTGAAAACTACTGAATATGCATATGTTGTAATTTTCGCTCTCACAACTTTTCTTATCATTATATATACATATTTGTATGTATATATTATGATCTAGTTAATGAAAAAACTGTAAGGAACATTTGGAGAATCCTATTCTAGAGATTACATGTTATGCAAAGTTCAAACTATGTTAAAACAACAAATTGCACTCGAAAAAAAAAACCCTACATATTACAGAAGGACAACTGCACAGCAAACTCAAAATAGGTAGGCGAAAAAATCGTTGGACAGGTCCTTGTGAAAACTACTGAATATGCATATGTTGTAATTTTCGCTCTCACAACTTTTCTTATCATAATATATACATATTTGTATGTATATATTATGATCTAGTTGATGAAAAAACTGTAAGGAACATTTGGAGAATCCTATTCTAGAGATTACATGTTATGCAAAGTTCAAACTATGTTAAAACAACAAATTGCACTCGAAAAAAAAACCCTACATATTACAGAAGGACAACTGCACAGCAAACTCAAAATAGGTAGGCGAAAAAATCGTTGGACAAGTCCTTGTGAAAACTACTGAATATGCATATGTTGTAATTTTCGCTCTCACAACTTTTCTTATCATAATATATACATATTTGTATGTATATTATGATCTAGTTAATTGAAAAAAACTGTAAGGAACATTTGGAGAATCCTATTCTAGAGATTACATGTTATGCAAAGTTCAAACTATGTTAAAACAACAAATTGCACTCGAAAAAAAAAACCCTACATATTACAGAAGGACAACTGCACAGCAAACTCAA